CGCTACCTACCGCCCTGCCCACAACGGCCCCCCGAATCCTCCGCCACGCTACCGACCGCCCTGCTAACAACGACCACCCGAATCCTCCGCCACGCTACCGACCGCCCTGCTAACAACGACCACCCGAATCCTCCGCCACGCTACCGACCGCCCTGCTAACAACGACCACCCGACTCCTCCGCCACGCTACCGACCGCCCTGCCCACAACGACCACCCGAATCCTCCGCCACGCTACCGACCGCCCTGCTAACAACGACCACCCGAATCCTCCGCCACGCTACCGACTGCCCTGCCCACAACGACCACCCGAATCCTCCGCCACGCTACCGACCACCCTGCTAACAACGACCACCCGAATCCTCCGCCACGCTACCGACTGCCCTGCCCACAACGACCACCCGAATCCTCCGCCACGCTACCGACCGCCCTGCCCACAACGACCACCCGAATTCTCCGCCATACCACCGACCGCCCTGCCCACAACGACCACCCGAATCCTCCGCCACGCCACCGACTGTGCTCAGCCATGCAGATATCGCCCCAGTTTCACAGACAAAGTTTCTAACTGACGCTGTAGCGTTTTTACCGTTCATGCAACGATACCTTGACACACTACTGCCTGCCTACCACCATATTGACATCCTTATGTGCAGGTAAAACTTTCTCATTTACAGAGCAGCACTTTTACTGACTGTTCAACGATATTTTAGCACACTACTCACGACTTTCTGAAACGTCAACGTCTCCGCACACAGGCATACTTTCCAACGTATGATGCAGTCCTTTCACTGATTGTTTGATACACTTCTCCACACTATTAATTAGTTTTCCTTATGTCCGCACCCCAGTATACTAACAAAATTTTCAACTTTCAACTCTTTAAATGCAAGATTAACGCGTGAATGGAGTGTAAGCATCGCTCAGGGAGATTTGCGCACCTGTGACTAAGATGAGACGCTTGTCTTTGTAGAGAATTCCCATGAACTTGAGTACATTCGGATGAATCAGTTGTCTCATGACCGACACCTACAATAGTCAGATAGCAACAATAATGATGGATAGCAGCTCATATTACGGGAAGAATTCCTTATATCTTATATTTATATTATTATTATTATATTTTATATTATAGTCTTTCCTAGTAAAATCACCATTTTGGTGCGTTCTAGTACACACATACCCACTGACGGTAAATGACTTCAGGATTTCTGTTCCAACAGAATATATCTCTTATATTACCTCTTTGAGAAAGTTCTTCTGTGCTTCATCATCAAACCGATACAGTTCCTTGAGCACCATGAGCTCTCCAGTCTCCTTATGTGTCACCTGCAGGTGAAAGCGACACTTGCTTCAATATCAAGACTGATCAGACTGCACCACAGCACCTGATGGCAAGTACTGTGGTTTAACTCTGTACTTGCTGCAGTGTTCTTTACACGAATTGCATGTACTTTATCAAGAGCGTATTAAGAAGGAGAGCATACAACGGTGAAATGCTGAAACCATGTTGCAGTATTAGTCGAATTAATAAACTTTGCCCGTTTTATTTTGACGATTCTTTGTGGTATTATTGATCAGCTCTCCTACCTTGCTAATATAAAACAAACCGCTTGTCCCTACGATGCCTCTACGCTGAGATAATGAGCGGTGAAAATCTGGTATTTTCGCCGAAAAGCGACTAGAGATACGTAGTGGCTGCGACTGTCTCTTGTTCGGGCGATAGCTTCGGGAAACCTCGCGTGTTTCCGTCATTCATTAACAATGAAATTTATTTTCCTTCTACTATCTTTTCTGGCATTTCCAGTCATTGACGCAGCCATTACTCCACAAAAACGTCGTTATTTATCGCTATGGTGATTACCCGCCCCTTACGCTGGACGTAGTAACGCTGCAGTAATAACGTATTGAGTCAGCGCTACACAGCGGCGACCGGAAGCAACATACAGTACACAAAACGAGAGACAGTCGCAGTAAAACTGATCTCGAGTCGGTTTTCAGGGCGAAAATACCAGATTTTCACGGTAACGCTGCAGTAATAACGTATCGAGTCAGCGCTACACAGCGGCGACCGGAAGCAACATACAGTACACAGAACGAGAGACAGTCGCAGTAAAACTGATCTCGAGTCGGTTTTCAGGGCGAAAATACCAGATTTTCACCGCTCATTATCTCAGCGTAGAGGCATCGTAGGGGCATGCGGTTTGTTTTATATTAACAAGGTAGGACAGCTGATCAATAATACTGCAAAGAATCGTCAAAATAAAACGGAGAAAGTTTATTAATTCGACTAATACTGCAACATGGTTTCAGCATTTCACCGTTGTACGCTCTCCTTCTTTATACTCTCTTGACTTTATGTATCTCTGTTTGTTCCATATATAAACTGTTGTTAACAGGCAAGTGGTCTTGATAAACCTCTGAAAAAAAATTAACCAAAGCCACTACTTGCCTTGCCCATAAAAAATTTAATATAAAATTAATAATTAGTAATGGATCATTAATGTAACCTTCATCATTAGTAATGAATCGTTAACCTAACCTTCATCATCAGTAATGAATCGTTAACGTAACCTTCATCACCAGCGATGAATCATTAACATAATCTTCATCATTAGTAATGAATCGTTAACGTAACCTTCCTCATCAGTAATGAATCGTTAACGTACTCTTCATCACCAGCGAAGAATCGACGCGGACAGCTGAATCACTAACCTTGTACACGTGACCGAAGAAGCCCCGCCCGAGCTCCTCTCCTACGATGAGATCCGACGGCCGGAATATCTTGCTCCGCTTGTTGGAATCGGAGCGGAATGACTGTGAGACGCGCAGCGGGTCCTGGCTCCCTCGCAGGGACGGTGGGACCTCACTATCCAGACTAGGGCTGCAATGAAACGAGTGGCAAGTTGCGAAATGAAGCTGAGATGTTGCTCCCCACCCCGTACTGATGATCGGGTCATCTATGGCGGATGCTACATAGAACACATTTATCAAGATAGAAGAGACATACGATGACTATTGCACCCTAGCTGTGATCATGACTGCATGGTATCAGCCACCACAAGAGACGAAGCAATGCTATCACACTCATCAGCCAACAACAGTCACAAAGGATGACAAAATCACGCCACAACCTTTTAGACACGTATCATAATACACATTATATATACATATAATCAGGGGTTAATAATGACAAAGTCATGAATTTTTCATTATTAACCCTTGATATAATTATATTATAATATAGACTATATTATCAATTATTATTATATATTATCTATATAGTCTAAATTATACACTCCTGATATAATTATATTATCTACACCTGATGACACGCTACATAGCTGCATCAACCCACCTTCTAGGCAGCGACGACGGCCGCTTGCGATGGTTGCCACGGTTACCGCTGCGGCATCTGTCAAGGCTCATTGTGTCCAGCATCGGCTGCGTGGCAGACGCTCTCAGCAACAGCTTCTTCTGCTTCGTCCCGCCGGGCATCTGCTGTGCCTCTGTCGTCACGGTAACAAAAAGACCAACTCATTTGCTGCACGGGTTGCAAGATCGGCACCCGTCAACTGACGCGCCGCGGTCGCACATTATCCGCAAAAATCTCCAACAAAGCGATTCGATAAGAATCTCTTTGAAAGCAGATGATTCAACTGATTGACTCTATCTAGACGAAGCAACACTAATAGTACCTGCATATACGCACGACACACTGGTGCATCGATAGCAACCACGTGGGTTGTTACGACACGCTGCATGCTCATCGCAGCAGCTTGCGACGACGACGTACTTTCGGGTAAATTATTTACATAATTATATTAATAATGTTCGGGTGCATAATGACCAACTCATTCGCTGCACGGGGTTGTAAGATCTGCATCCATCAACTAACGCTCCGCAGACTCTCACAGCTGAACTGAAACCGGTCTGAACCAGGAAATGGGGATACATTGAAGATGGCCCAATCGAATGCAACTGCGGGAAGGACCAGACTATGGGGGACATCTCCTGGAATGCCCCCTATTACGAGAGCGCTGTAGCACTGGAGATCTTGAGGATTTCAACCACTGTGCCAGGTCCTGTGTGCTGCAGTAGCTAGGTCGAGTGTAGTGTAGTGACCCGAGAAGAAGAAGAACCGCTCAACCTTGCGATGAAGACATACCTTCGGGCGGTTCGTCATCTTCCGGACTCTGCACGAGAAGGTTCTCCTCGGAACTCGCGTTGCCGTTCGACTCTCCACGGCGTCTGTTCGGATCCCGCTCCACCGTCAGCAACAATGTGTTGTTCGCGCTCCTGATCACCGCGTCGAGCTGGAACAAACAACGAAGAACAACGCCATGTATTTTCTTGTTCGGGGAGGAACCGAAGAACGCTGCTGCACCTTTTTTTTGTCTGTAAGGAGTCACTTAAGCAGTGAGAGGATCTCATGTGCAGTGACTTGCATTAGTGCGAGTATTATCGGATTTATCCTGCTAGAGTTGTGAGGACAAAATGGCCACCGGCTTGTTCGACAGCTGCCCTCTGTATGCTGGTAATTAGGGTATGTCTTCTAATTAAATGAAGTACAAGGCAGAATTACAGGTATTCGTGCTGGGAATACATACTAATCAGAATAATTTACTAATCACACGCCCACCAATAACAGACTTACAGTTATGGACGCCCACCAATAACAGACTTACAGTTATGGACGCCCACCAATAACAGACTTACAGTTATGGACGCCCACCAATAACAGACTTACGAGTTTATGGCCGCCCCACAATAACAGACTTAACAGTTATGGACGCCCACCACATAACAGACTTACAGTTAATTGGACGCCCCACCATAACAGACTTACAGCTTATGGACGCCCACAATAACGACTTACAGTTCATGACGCCACAATAACAGACTTACAGTTATGGACGCCCTACAATAACAGACTTTACAGTTATGGACGGCCCCACCAATATAACAGACTTTACAGTTTATGACGCCCACCAATTAACAGAACTTAACAGTTAAGGTAATCTATTGCTATTTTTATTATTACGTTTTATTATGAAGCGGTTGCCAGGCTAACAAAATAATTGTGCAACCTCTATAGACATATTGCTATAGCCAATGAAATTTATATAACAAGCAAATTAAAACAAAATTAATTAGAGGGCAAAAAATCATATAAATAAGAGTATCACATTATTTTAATCAGATTGCCTCAGAATAGCCAGGTTACGACAGACCAAGAATTAGTTTATGCGAAAGCCTAATATGGAAGAGCTAGATATTTGGCAATATGCATACCTCATCGTATCAATGCTCCTTTACAGTTTCCATTCACCTCAATATTCGCATCCCAATGTGCAAGGAACATCAGCTTCTGAGCACAGGTCCGATGCTGCAGCATAGAAATATATCAGTTAAGTATGTTGTACTGCACTGCAGAATTCTTTGTGAATGGAAGGTTTTATATTGGCCCCAATTATATTATCTATATTATCACTATATTCCCTATCACCGCCTAGTTGTCATCCTACATAACATCAGCCATACCAGCATTATATTCGTGTGTCATCATCGAATCGTTCATCATCATCATCATAGATCATCATTCATCGATCATCATCATCTCATATCATCCATCATAAACTTTCATCACAAATCAACCACTGAGGTTATCATACCACCATCATCATCAACAGCAGCAGCATCAGCACAGCAATAGCAGTAGGCAGCGCAGCCAGCACCAAACAACAGCAGCAGTATCAGTAGCAGCAGCAGCGATCAGCCAGCAGCCTTCGCACACACACACCACAACACACAACCTTACTCGGTTGATGACAGCAGTTTTTTGCGCTTTGATGCCCGTGTGGTACATGTGCTCTTTCTCCAGCGCCAGTGTTAGGCCCTTACGGCGCTCTGGTCGTAGGCGGGATCTCACGAGCCTGGATAGGTGCGGATCCCTGGCCTGAACTTTGCCTGCCTAGCTGCACGGGCCGCATCACCGGCTTTTGTAGCACGTACCACTGCAAAGACGAGTCTTACCATTACTGTCTATCTATGTGGTATATATTATATATCTTTTTTATTTCTCTTTCTCTTTTCTTTCTCTCTTCTCTCTTCTCTCTTTCTTTTCTTTCTCTCTCTCTCTCTCTCTCTTCTCTCTCTCTCTCCTCTCTTCTCTCTTCTCTCTCTCTCTCTCTCTCTCCTCTCTATATTATATATAATATATATATATAATATTATATAAAACCTGCAAGGAACGCACTTCCCTGGCATATTGGCGCACGTATTTTTCTGATTAACTTCACTCATTCAGGATTT